GCATGATTCTGCTGTTATTACTCTAAATGAAGAACGCAGTGCAGCTATTCTAAGAAAAGTGCCACCTAAACTAAAAGATCTGGGTAGTTTCACTCTTCCTTGCACTGTAGAAATCAAAGAATTTTTGAAAGCATTGCTAGATCTTGGTGCAAGTATAAATCTCATGCCAGTGTCTGTATTTAAATCACTGATCTGGATAATTTTTTGGTGCCTACTAACATGACATTGTAGTTGGCAGACATGTCATTAACCTATCCAAAGGGAATTTTACTTGATGTTCTTGTGAAGGTTGGGAATTTTGTTTACCCAGCAGATTTTGTGGTTTTGGATATGGAAGAAGACAGGGATGTACCCATCATCTTAGGGAGACCTTTTCTGGCAACATGTGATACAATTATCAAGGTAAAACAAGGGCAAATCACACTGTACTTTGATGGGGAGAAAGTCACCTTCAACATCTTCAAAAACATGAGATATCCTGCCGAAGTCCACAACTGTTATATGATGAAGAGTGTAGAAGTAGAAGAATCAGTGGCAGAAGAAGTGCTACAAGATGAACTCCTTAAACAACTTATGTGTCCAGATAGCAGTGAAGAACAGGAAGGGGAAGATGAGTACAGGCTCACTTGCCTGAGTTACTTGAACCACTCCCCCAAGTGGCATCCTAGACAACAACCCTTTGAGCTGTTGGACATGACTAAGAAAGGAAGATGCCTAAGCCTTCAATTGAAGAACCACCTTCTCTAGAACTTAACCCTCTGCCTTCACATTTGAAATATGCCTATATTGGAGTAAGTAACACTTTACATGTGATTATTTCTTCTATGCTTACAGGTACTAAAGAGGATAAGTTGCTAAGGTGTTGAGGATGCACAAAGAAGCCATCGGATGGTCAATTGCAGACATTAAGGGCATCAGTCCTTCCATCTGTTTGCACAAGATTCTACTTGAAGATGATGCTAAGCCAACCATTGAAGGACAAAGAAGGCTCAACCCAGTCATGAAAGAAGTGGTAAAGAAGGAAATTATTAAGCTACTAGATGCTGGAATCATCTTTCCAATATCAGACACTAAATGGGTGCGCCCAGTTTAGTGAGTGCTCAAGAAGGGAGGAATCACGGTAATAAGGAATGATCTCCAAGAGCTGATCTCTACAAGGTTGAACAATGCATGGAGAGTGTGCATGGACTACATGAAGCTTAATAAAGCTACCAGAAAAGACCACTTTCCACTCCCTTTTATTGATCAAATGCTAGATAGATTGGCTGGATTCATGTATTACTGTTTCCTTGATGGTTTTTCAGGTTACAACTAGATTGCCATAGATCCTGATGATCAAGAAAAGACAACATTCACCTGCCCCTATGGCACATTTGCCTTTAAGAGAATGCCATTTGGACTATGCAATGCACCTGCAATATTTCAAAGATGTATGATGGCAATTTTCTCTGATATGGTGGAATATATAATTGAAATCTTCATGGATGACTTCTCAGTTTTGGTAAGTCGTTTGATGCATGCCTGGACAATCTCGAACTGATACTGAAGAGATGCATAGAATCAAACTTAGTCCTCAATTGGGAGAAGTGCCATTTTATGGTAACTAAGGGGATTGTCTTGGGGCATACGATCTCACAAAAAGGAATTGAAGTGGACAAGGCAAAGATTGAAGTCATAGAAAGGCTCAGCCCACCAACCACAGTTAAGGGAGTAAGGAGTTTCTGAGGCCATGCTAGCTTTTACAGGAGGTTCATTAAGGATTTTTCAAAAATTTCTAAACTATTGTGCAATTTGCTTGAAAAAGACACTGCTTTTATTTTTTATGAATCCTGTCTAAATGCATTTATTAAACTGACAAAGAAACTCATTTCTTCACCTGTAATCATCACACCAGATTAGTAACAGCCTTTTGAACTAATGTGTGATGCTAGTGATTTTGCAGTTGGTGTTTTACTTGAGCAGAGAAGGAATAAGGTGCTGCATGCGGTTTACTATGCTAGTGAAACCCTCAATCCTACACAAGTCAACTACACCACTACAGAGAAGGAAATGCTGGCAATTGTATTTACATTTGACAAATTCAGAGCTTATTTGCTAGGAATGAAAGTCGTAGTCTACACAGACCATGCTGCCATCAGGTATTTAATCAATAAAAAGGAATCTAAGCCTAGATTGATCCGATGGGTGTTATAATTACAGGAATTCGATTTGGGGATAAAGGACAGAAAGGGTGCTAAAAATCAAGTGGCAGACCATCTGTCAAGACTTGAAGAGATTCCAGAAGATACAACTCCAATTTTAGACAAATTCCCTGATGAGTCACTCTGGCGAGTGACAGGCACACTCACGGGAGTGACAGGTAACAGACCCTGGTTTGCAGATTTTGCTAATTTTGTTGCTATTGGTGTTATTCCTACAGATTTCTCTCCTCAACAGCGCAAAAGATTCCTTCATGATGCTCAACTCTACCTATGGGATGAACCCTACGTATTCAAGAGATGTGGAGACTAATTGATCAGAAGATGTATTCTAGAAACCGAATTTGCAGAAGTGTTGCACAAATGTCATAGCTCTCCATATGGTGGACATTTCAGTGGTCAAAAGATAGCAATCAAGGTTCTGCAATCTGGATTGTATTGGCCTTCCCTGTTCAGAGATGCACGCGAATTTGTCAAGGGCTGTGACAGATGCCAAAGGACAAGAAACATTTCCTGGAAAAAATGAGATGCCACAACAGAACATGCTTGAAGTAGAACTGTTTGACGTGTGGGGATAGATTTCATGGGTCCTTTCGTGTCATCCTTTGGAAATTCCTACATCCTGCTGGCAGTGGACTATGTTTCAAGATGGAGAGAAGCCGTAGCTACAAGAAACAGTGATGCCAAGACTGTTCTCAGTTTCTTAAGGAAAAATATTTTCACCAGGTTTGGTACACCCAGAATGATAATCAGTGATGAAGGATCACACTTCTATAACAAGTCATTTGCAACCATGGTAAAGAAATATGGGATCAAACACACTGTATCAATACCATACAATCCACAGTCAAACAGGCTAGCAGAAGTGTCAAACAGGGAAGTGAAGAGAATCTTGGAAAAAGTTGTCAACTCTACTAGGAAGAATTGGTCTTCAAGGTTGGATGAAGCTCTGTGGGCATACAGAACAGCCTATAAAATCCCCATTGGTATGTCTCCATTTAAGCTGGTCTATGGGAAAGCATGCCACTTGCCAGTAGAATTGGAGCATAAGGCTTATGAATCATTAAGGAACTGAATCTTGATCCAAGGGGAAGCAAGGAACTCAGATTGATGCAATTGAATGAGCTGGAAGAGTTCAGGCTTGAGGCACATGAATCATCTAGAGTTTACAAGGAGAAAACTAAGGCCTATCATGATTAACATATTGTGGAGAAGAAACTGCAAGAAGGGCAAGAAGTCTTATTGTTCAATTACAGGCTTAAGTTCTTTCCAAGAAAGTTGAAGTCAAGATGGACTGGCCCTTACAAAATCAACAAGGTTTTGAATCAAGGAGCAGTGGAAATCATGAATCCACAAAATGGCAACACCTTTTTGGTTAATGGGCAGAGGCTAAAACCATACCTTGGATTGACAGAAGGGAGTAAAAGACAGGACAATCGTGTTCTGGTCCTGAAGGAGCTTAACTGAATTTCTTTTGAAGTCTGGCATGGGACTTAAAACTAATGCGCTTTATGGGAGACAACCCATACGTTTTAGTTTTGTGTGGCTAATATTTGCTGATATGCTAATTTTGTAGGAACGGAGGAGGTATTTGTCACCTCAATTTGATTTCAGGAAGTGCAAGCATAAAAGGCCTCAGGTAAACTCACTCCCAGGAGTGAAGAAGGTCACTCAGCCGAGTGAACATACAGCAACGTGATTCTATAAGTCATTCAAACCCTAACGTCACTCACGCAAGTGGGGATTCACTCACCTGAGTAAGAACAACTGGACAACACTTTCTGCAATTTACTTTTTGAACTTCATTTTATAATTTAAGTTTGGGGGGAGAATTTCCCAAAATTTTTCAAATTTTGAATTAAACCGCGTCCGTTTAAAGGCCCCCTTAGTCAACAATTTCCGAGGTTTTAATTGCTTTTGCATTTAATTGAAACTCTTCCACTCCTTCGTCTTCTTCTTCCAAACTGAAACCCTTTGCTCCTTCAAATACCACTCCCCTGTGTGTGAATGTACTAGCCCTTTCTTTGTGATTTTAGGCAACCAAGGCAGAAATTCAGTTTAGACCAAAGTCACATCCAATTGCCAATTCAGTTTTTAGGGTTCTTGAGTCATGCCGCCGGCTAAAAGAAAGGTTGCTGCCCGCAAAAACGCTTCCAATACTAGAAGATGGCAACCCTCGTCTTCTCCTGAAGTTCTGATGGAACCCACGCCACCGTCCTCTTCTGAAAGGCAACCTTTCCCTGTCAGGGAGCCTACTCCGCCGCCGCCCCCACAGCCACCAAGGGCTCTCCAAGAACAGGCCCTCAACGCTCTCACAGACGAGTGGGAGCCAAGACTCTTCTCCAAAAAAAAAAGGCTTGGGATTTCCTTCTAAAGCATCTAAAGCAGAAGATTACTATAGAGAGGGGATGAAGATGGTGCGGCTATATCCTACATCAAGCGCCATGGATGGGTGACGTTCTCTAAGCCCCTTATTCACCCTAGGACTCAGATTGTGCAGGAATTTTACGGAAATTTCTCCACTGCCACCAGAGATGGAGTGTTTGTCAGGGGGATATCCGTCAACTGCAGCACAAAGGCTATTAGGGCAATCTGGAAATCGCCAAGAGTCAGCACAGATTACAGAGCCACCCTTGCTGCCCTGCATCCGAATCAGCCAATGGAACAAGCCATTCTGTCTAGATTGGCAAGGGAAGTGCAGACTGGGAAAAGGATAATAAGGACAATCCCTTAGGATTCTCAGCTAATGCATTGCAGACACCTGATATGAACTTATGGCATCATTTCATCTGCTGCAACCTGATGCCGACATCCTACACTACCAAGGTTACCTATGAACAAGCTCTGCTGCTATATGCCATTGTCACAGACAACCCGTTTAATGCAGCATCAGTGATCAGGGATCAGCTCACCAGATGTATCACATATCCCAAGGTGAAGAGCTGGTACTTCCCAGTTATGATCACCATGCTTTGCAGAAGGGCAGGGGTGACCTTTTCGAGCACAGACACTGAGAATAGCCTGCGACAACCTTTAAGGCTTTCTAAATTAGATCAGAGACCTCCAGGTGCATCTTCTTCAGGGCAAGCAGCACCTGCACCAACTCCAGCTGGACAATTGAGGCAAAGAAACTTCAACAAGCAGACTCGGTTCATCCTGGATTATGTCTACCAGTGCCAGATGAGGACTGAGCAATTCTTGCAGAAAATGCACAAATGCATTGGATGCCCTGAAAACTACCCATTGCCGCATGATCCACCAGCCCATCCACTCCATGGAACGCCTCCATAAACACTCAGGGAAGTGTTGTTCTACTGCCCTCAATCAGCTATTTAAATTTTCCTGTTGAACGGTGAACTCTTGTTATTTTTCTTTTGTTGTGTTTGGATTACTGTTGATTAGTGTTGCTTTGTTCTGATTGTTGTGTTAAGCATTGAGGGCAATGCTTTGAATAAGTTTGGGGGAGTAGAGTAGTTTGGTTTAGTCTGACCAGTGTCAGTTAGGTCCTTTAGGTTTAAGTATTTTAATGTCTAAGATCGAGTCTGTAAAACTTCTTTCAAAATAAATGAAAATTGTTTTTCCAAAAAGGAGCAGTCAACAGTCTAGGATGATAATGGTTTTGAAAATTTTTTGCTAAAACACTTTGGATGTTAAGTCTGATGCGTGAAATGAAAGAGTGGCTGACACTTCACTCACACACATGAACCATGCCACTCATGGAAGTGACTGCCTAGAACATAATTTCTAAAATTTGGCATGACTAATCCATTGTTGTGATCAATGTCTAGTTTAAGGCTACAAGTAGACGAGAAAACACTGTAAACCTGAGACTCCTTTTCTGGTAACCATTCACAGCTTGTCTTGTTTTAAATATATATATATATGTATATATATATATATGTATACAATGTTTGATCAACTAAAACTTTACAGGTTAACAGTAAGGGATCACCACAATCCTAAGCTGTTTGGAATAATAAGGGGAGATTTAAGGCAGTGAGGAGATAAGGATAAATAACACCCCTCCCAAAGGTGTAGGTTGGTCTACATTCAAAAAAAAAAAGAAGAAAAAGAGAGATAGAAAGGCTGTGTAGGAAGTCTAGGGTTGAGACCTCATTAGGTAATTTGAGTTGAAGTAACTTAAGCAAGACCAGATCACAAGAATAACCAACAAAAGCTTAACCAGTTAACTTAGAATGGATTGGTAGGATCGGCATAAACTAACACTTGTTGTATGCATTTTAAATTTCATGTGAAGGTTAGCTGTTTGATTATGGATTGTAGACGAATTTGGTGTCCTTAAGTGTATAATTTCTTACTTGAATATGAGACAAAAGCTTGACAGCCCCTGGCAGGTGAATTTGTATTGTGTTTCTATGTGCAGTGTCACGTGCCCGAGTGAGCACCTTCACTCAGGGAAGTTAGTCAGTGTTGAGTCAATCTGACAATACTGTTTTCTTTGTTCTCATGTATAATTCTTTAAACATCAGTAAAAAGCAAGTTGTTTTGCTTGAAGACAAGCAATTCTTCAAGTTTAGGGGAGTTGATAACAATCAAATTGTTATACAAAAGAAATGCAATTTACTCTATAATTAGTTGAAAATTTGGGGGTGCTTCTTCGAATTTATGCATATTACTTAGTAAGTTTTATGTTTTGCATAGGTACGGACCTGAGTGAACAAGTGATGAAAATAGAGGACTTGTGGAGCAATAATTGGGCTGATGATTTCAGAATTAGAAGCATGGGTTGAGTTGGTCAAAAGCAACTCCAAAGCACAAGGCACATTGGGAGCCAACAAAAGTGTCCCACTATAGAATTTCAAGAGCATGCTTGACTCCTTGAATGGAGAACTAGCCACTCACATTGAGCTATGCTGCTGCTGATACCATCACTGGAAGAATGGGCAAAAGACTAGTCAATTTGGGGTTCAAGACACAAAGCATTGGGGCAATTAAAAAATACACAAGCATCGAAAGGCTCTCTAGGGAGAGGAACCGGCAACAAAGTTCTATAAAAGGAGAGCTTCATTTCGAGCAAAGACATCTATCTTTGCTTCTCTCAGTCGACTAGAACACACAAAGAAACTCTAGAAGGAAGGCAAGATCAAGAAAGAACAACAGCAACTCAGCAAGAGGCAGAGTTGAAGAACAATCATCCCAGTCACTGGTTCACTCCCCTGAGTGAACTCTGTCACTCCCAGGAGTGACCTTGAATTGCATAAGTTGTCTTCTTCTCTTAACTGTTAGATTGTATTTCATTTCATTGATGTATATTTCTATGATGTCTTTTGAAGTAGTAGCAGTAGCATCAACCAGTATGAGTAGCTAAATAGCTTCCAGGGGTTAACCTCCTCAACCTATGTTGTAGTTGTTGTAATGCACTAGTTTTTTTCTATGTTTTGAAGATGGAAGTGTTTCTATATTCAGTTACTTGATCACCAATTGAATACATGCTATAACTAGGGGAGATCTGGAAAGATAAACTTGGTTCGGATTGTTTCAACTTCAACTTGTGACATAGAGGTAACAATCTATGGTGTTAACTAAGATAGGAATATACTTAGTTGACATAAGCATTCATGAAGCCTGAGATCTTAATTACTTTATAACTGGACTCAATCATTGGAAAATCGAGTGTTAAGGTTACAAAGATGACTATAAGAAAAATGGAAACTGACTTAGAGTTACATCTGAGCTGAATGAACAAGAACTTAACCATTAAAGTGAAAACTACACAACTGCTGCATAGGAAGAGGAGATGAACACCCCTGGACTGTACTCCACTGAGTGAACGTTTTCATTCCCCCGAGTGACACCTTGCCTAAACTGGTATTCTGTTAACAACAAATTAGGTGATTTAGCTGTCCTCGTGGGATCGATCTAGCTTCCATTATCTACAAAAAGTTATAATCTAGCTAGTATATATTTTTGGTGAATTCGGCACACACCAGTAATCTATACATGTCTACTTGAATTTAGAAGTAAATTAAAATTTTAAATTCTCAATCTTACAACAACAGACTCTACTACGGAACCTATCCATAAAGTTCCACGTTCTTTGCAGACATGACTGGGGTATCTTCACAGTGCTCCTGATGTATCCTCTAACTTTTCGAGAATTTTTTCATTGTGGTCTAATCTAGCAACCATCCCCAAACGGTTAAAATTTGGAGCTCCTCTTGAATTCATCGCCACCAAGAATTCACCATTTTTGTTCTTCCTAATATTTTCTGGATTTCTTGGAAGCATTGTAAATACCTCAATCCTACCAGCTACCCTTCCTGGACCCGATCGAAGCCAATATCTTAACACTAGGGCATTTGTTGTTTCGGTTAGTAAAAGAAAATCACCGCTTTGGCTAAGTACTACTCCATTCGGGAAATGAGACCACCATCGAGGACTCTTACGATTTGGTCTTGGGATCGAATACCATTAGTCTTTCGGTGCTACCGCTGGTGGAGATTACGCTTTGATAGTCTCTTGGCTAGAACTTCGTGCTGATATCGATGAAATCTACCATCCCAGTAACCTTGATGGAGACCATCGAGCTATGGAAGAACAAGAGGATGATCATGCTAAAGAGGAAGAACTTGTGAAGGTTGTGAATGTTAATAATGAGCCGATTATGAAGAATCCTTATATTAGGGATCTATTGACTAACATTGTTGGCCCGATCACCCGTTAAAGATCCAAGATTGTGAATATTAATTTTAACTATCTAGCGCAAGATTATTAAATGTGTTGCAAGTACAGTTAAATGGACTCATGGACCTAGATGGAAGCATAACTCAAGGCCCGTTGAAGAGCCAAGAGCCCATTGGCCGTGCGAGTGGAGATGCGCGCGCCCTTACCCTAACTTAAGGGTTAAGGGAGCCAAGATTCCTTCCATTCCTACATTAAAGGAGGGAAATCTCGGCCACATTTATTTAATTATTTATTTTTCACAAATAAATACTCTACAAGACAGATATTGGTTGAGTTGAGCTCAAGAAAAGGAGGTTACTTTGTCACCAAGACTTGGCGCACGGAAGAAGGTTCTTTTTCGAGAATATCTCCTTAGTAATAGGAGTTTTAATTTCTTTTCACACTTAGATCTAATGAATTAGGTCTATGGAAGAGTCTAGATTCGTTTTCTTGGTCATAAAGAAAACTAGGAGTCAAAGAGTCCAATGACTTTGAATTCGTAGAATTAGGGAAAGTGTCCTATTTCTTCACTTGGAAATTCGGCCAACCACCCCTATAAAAGGAAGGGGTCGCATTTCGAGTTCCATGTACTGAGTTGAGTTGATTTCTTGAGGTTTTAACCTTTATGAGTTTTTGTTCTTGTGTAGAGCAAACTGTTTGGTTGTTACTTTGAGTAGTGACATCTTTAATACTTATTTTTCTTGTGTGGTGCGTTGGGAAGTGGTGTCTATAGTAACATTGTCTTTTGATATCGATACTTAAGGGCTATAGATAAATATCTATTGGTTCTGCTTGTAAGATTTTTGAAAGGGGCCTTGCTAGAATTCAAGAGTTCCACTCATCAGATTGAGTTGGGTTGTTGGTTCTTTTGAACTCGTGAATTGGTCCATGTAAGATCAAATATCATCCTAATCTGCGTTTCTGGTATTCAAGTAAGTATTCGAGTTTGTCATCATTACGCTGCATATTCTGTGTAATTCAATATTCAAAGTTGATACTTGTTTAAGCATTGGTTTTGTTCTTGAGTTTCTATCATATTTTTGGTATCAGAGCCAGGTTTGGTGTATACTATCGTGGTTCTAAACTCGAATTGTGTGTGTTTCTTCTTGTTCTTGATTTTTTGGATTTCTCTCTCCTAAAAGAAGAAGTCTTAATAAAAATTTTTTGAGTTGTTCACCACTTGGACGATTCGTTTTTGTGTTCTTCATACTTATCTTACAAGATTCAAGTTGTTCATCATCACATATAGCCTTTTGGTCCATTGTTTGGGTTGATTGGTGTTGATCTTAGTGGTTTGGATTGATTGGTGTGAAGTTGTAGTTGTTGTATTTTGTTGTTGGTGTCGCGGTTGCCGTCCAAAGAAAAAGAAGGGGGCACAGGAAAAACCCTAACCCTAGCCCACCACATTGAATAAAAAGAAAAAAAAAGAAAAAGAGAGAAGAAAATTTGGAGAAGAGAAAAAGAAAAAGGAAAGTATCTTTGTTGAAAAAAATATTAGAAGGAAAGAAATTATTCGGTGGTAGAAAACTTACCTTGATTAGATTTATTCTTTTCACACATAAAAATGTAATTTCCAAATTAGTCTCCCTACACTTAAATTTTCGGCC